ACTTCAATAATTCCTGTTTTATCAAATTAATTCCAGTACCTACTATTTAAATATCGTTCTCATGTATTGGAGTTGATTTAAAACGGAACATACATTTTTACATGAGATATTTAGGGAAGTAGGCGCGTTTGAAGAACAATTATATTACCATTGTTCTAGAAAGTCATCGCTCCCCTCTTTACAGCAATTTGTTAAATAGTTCCACTGCAACTTGTTACGACGTAAATACTCGTGGCCCGTGTTTACGAGCGAACGTAGCATTTAGTCCAAGTACTTGCTCAGGAGTAATTTGTGGATTCAGTCGACCATAAATTCCACAGTCCTAATACTGATTGCAATATGATGTTGACATAAGACACGCGATATTAGATATTGTATGTATAGACAGATGAGAATTTTGAATTAATCTGCAGTCGGACCACGTTTATGAACACGTAAAGCGTCAAGGGCAGTATGTTGAGTTGTGTTTGATCGTTATTCTAATAACGTTGATCACTTCGAATTCATATACTAGTTATAGACGAAATGAAAAACTGCTAAGACGAAAATAAAGAATATTTAACGATTGATATTAAATGTAAAAATTAATGCATATTATAATATTTCTGAATTTTGAATTAAGGGATAATGTGAAATGATCATTATAGTGTAATTATAGTTACCACTATATAACCTACAGCACATACCCAGTCCTGTTGAGGTTATTACAAATGTAATTTATTATTACAATATAATCAGTAACAATAGAAGTATTAAAGACATGAATACAATGATGCATTCAGGTTCGGACTACTGCAATGTGATTCGCTTTATCCAATCAATGAATATCGAATGAAAGCTGAATTAATTATTACAATAAAAAAGTATATTCCTCAGTTCATAGCTAAACAGTTATACTGAATCCTACAACAATCAGAATCTTCCCCGATAAAACTAGAAGTTTTATTAAAAAACCTAAGAAAAACCAGTTAAATATACTGTTTCAGCAAATTCGATGACACTAATCTCATCTATCAGTTAGATACATGTGCAGCGATCATCACAGAATTTTGTCGAAAGAGGAAGTTTCAGCTCTCATCGCTCAAACTATATTATGAACTAGGTCAGCAGATCTTATCCCGTGAATGCAGTGAAAAACGTACTAACTTTGAAGCCTGACAGTAACGCATAATCACACAAGTTTTGATTAAAATTGAAGAATAGCAGCAGGACCTCTGTTGATTATCATTGTCTTTTTCTAAAACAGAATACATCTAAACTATCTAAAACATATGCATTAACCCCGATTACTTTCTAGTTAAGGAACGCTCAAATCAATTTGTCCTCTAACAATTTTCCGACTAAATCGTATTTTCACTGATTTTCGTTCAACGAGTAGCACCACCTTGTTGTCCTCCGCTAAAGATTCAATTTATCTTGATCCTTTCGAAAACTTACATAGCTGGTTATACCCATAACAGACTTTATCCCCCCGATAGAACGTTCTCGACACCCGGCGTAACTAAATCCGCCCGTAACTCTATTCGAGCGTTGGTCTGGCTTTGAGCCAATGAGCCGGGGCCTGGACGACAAAACTTATTTAATTATTTTTCTATCAACCCCTGGCTCGTGGCTTGCCCCGCTCGCGCGCACTTGTGATGTGAACAGGTGAGAGCCAGTTACCGCAAACTTGTTTAATTATTCCCGTACCAAACAATTAAACCGGGCGTTTCGTGGCAACCTTTATTCTCGGGAGAATGCCTGGACGCCTCATCGGGAGAGGTGGACGGAAAGAGTACCTAATTTAATTTTTTTTTTCGCTTGAAAATTTCCTGTTAGATATAATAGCAGTTGATTATGGAAACAAGTTCGACGTGTATTTATGAATATTATTTGATTCAATATCTGATTGTAAAATTTCTTCTATTGGGTTTGATCAGTTCTCATGGTAATTATTTGCTTCTCAAATAATTTTTTAAAATTAGTATATACCTACTCTGAATTAGATCACTGAACTAGATTAGTAAACATTGAAAGTAATCGAGTGTCGAATAATTTCATGTATTAGCTATATGCTTCGACAAGGAACATTCTGTTTGAAATGGTTAACCCTTTCAATGTTGATTAAAATGATGGTGTGCTGCAATAGAAAGGTGTATTTCTTGTATGATTGAAAACGTAATAACGAATAATTATTTGCCAATAACTGTTATTCATACATTTCGTCCATCTAAGAATCGTTAAAAATAAAATATAGAACTCGTTGCATCCGATGAAATTTTTGTCGTTTACCGTATGTCACACATCACTATATGCTATGAATGCATAAAATCCGCAGTCAATGACTCAATTTGATAAGAACTTATCCATTCAAATGGATCCTTCTTCGATTACAAATCTCCTGTTCAGAATAAATCATAATCATTCAAACTTTCCACTTCAAAATTGACATTTACTCTTCAACAACCTAACACCTTTCCTCCCTGTGTCTTTCCCATTTGTCATTTCCATTTCTTTTTACAAATCATTACAAAACCGAATAGTTAAATCGACGGTTTCCCGAACGTTCCACGACGATCCCTCCAGGATTCGTGCTCGAATTCCCATGGAAAGGGCCACATGAAAGGATATGCCCGCGGGACTGATTCGGCCGCAGATCCTCGACGTCTCCGTTGAAGAGACGAAGGTTCGTGCGCCACCGGAAACGGTAAATTAATTCGCGAACGACAACCCCAGTCGCTTCTACTCGCTTTCACCGTATAAACATCAGAGCCAGAAGTTGACCGGCGCGCGACGTTCCTGTTTGGTTCCCAGGGGAAGGGGGGGGGAGCCATATCCGGCGTTATTCGCCTAACCGCTCCCCCACCCCCACAACCCCTCCCAATGGTACACGTATTTGGCACCGCTTCTCCGTCGTCGCATCTGCATCGGACGTCACCGGCACAACGGATTTTCGTATACCGAACTGTGTCGATCGCAATCTGTGAACTGCGACGCGAGCTGATACCCAATTCCCAGCCCTCCGGGGCCCCGGCGATCTGCGAAATTAGGGAGCTAACTGATTTTCCACGGCAGACGAACACACGCTTCGCCGATTGCGTTCCAATTTCGAGATGCACGCGCGCGTGCGCACAAATCTGCGGGATCAACTACTGCGATGGATCGTTCCGTCTTTCCACCCCCTTTTGCAGGATTTCTTCGTCTTAACAGATTGCTGACTGCGCGAAAAGATTCGGTTACACGGATATAGAGGGTGTCTCAATTATGTGTGACCCTCAGGTGTCTGTTTTAATTGTGAAAACACAAAACGTATTTTATATCTAATTTGAATTATATTAAGTTATCAGTATCCTGCGGGCGTTGTTTTTTCTGATGTTGCTTGTTCTTGAAGTTTTCAAGGTCATCAATGTTTTTTTCTTTCAAAGAACTAGTTTTTTGTAGCGCATCGCGTAGCAGGTGAAAAAATACATTTAGATATGTACTGGTCACAGTCACTTTAATATGATGTTCGTACGAAATTATAGCGATCAAAACATTCAAACTCGTTTTCCCTAAAATCGTGATTTTTGAGTTAAGTCGTTATTGCAGCAAATGAGCAACAGTAATCAAATATTCCTTATAGAGCATGTATTTATGGCCCGAAGAGAAATCAATCGGTATTGTAATTACACATAAAAGATCACTCGAATGCATTGCGACGCTTTTTCGCCCATAGAAAGCTTAAAAGCTTAAAATCGCGGATATCGATTTTGATGAAACGACACACACAGACATACACACACATATGTGGATAGATGGCCCATTTTACTAATCTGCCCGAACAAAAGACCTTTGTCTTTTATCCAACAGACTAAACGCTACACAGTGGCGATGAAACGCAAATATAGACGTATATCCCGTTAGAATGTATAAAAGTTTGCAATTAAGTTTAGTTCGATTGTTTCGACCTAATAACGTTGTCCATTGTACTATGTACAAAGGGAGTAATAGTCATGTTCAACTCTTATACTCGTTTTTCCCAGTCATCCTTTCCCTTCCTACTTAAAATCGAGCCAACCATTTCTACATTTTACATTTCCATCACTCTTAGAATGCTCTTAGTTATAATTGATACACAGGTGTGAACACAAGATCTTCATTAATTATATTAATTTAGTGACATTCTGTATTCGAAGAAAGGGTTAAAAAATCTCGTTGAGTGTTGAAGTGGTCAAACTATTTTTTAGTCAAAATGTTAGGTAATTTATAATTACTAAATATAAAGATTTTAATAAGTTTTAATGCTGTAACTTCAATATTAATTCTGTCATAAAACTTGAACATTTTGTCATTGTATTATAAAATATCGACGAAGAGATAATAGATGCTATTAAACATTAACGAGTACGAAAGACTCCAAGTATCTGAAAAATATGTATCTAAATATTTGTCACACATCTACAAGCAATAACAAATATAATTATTATTAGGTGTTTGAATCTCGTAATTGGCTATTATATTCAAAGAGTATTTCCTACAGCTAATAATAAGTCTCTATCAATCCTATATCGAGACAGACTCGACATTCAATTAATATAATCACTATGTACTCTGGTCTATGGTATATTTATTATTGTTCCAGTATGTAAATACTAACTTAATCGTTCTTAAATATCACGAATATCTTACCAGACCAAAGCATTAAAATATACGTGAACTGTATTACGCAAGTGCGAAAATAAAATACCAAAAACTCTTTGAACCCCACAAGGTTAACACTGCACCCCATAGCAAATATAAAACGTCGTTCAATGATCCAAGAATACAGCAAAAAAGAATTTTCGATTCCGAAAAATACAGAACCATCACACATTTCCGCCATTCATAAACTAACACTACATTAACTTCCCATTTTTTAAATCATTACGTTGACCATATCCCGCTTTAACACACACCAATAACAATGAAACATTCGTTTCGTCGTCAAAACGACGCGTTACACCGAAAATAGTATCAGAACATCAAGATATTCTCTTACTCACCGATTGGCACGTTGACAGCAAAGAGAAAGACAAGAGCGCGATGGCAGAGCATTGTGCACTGCATGGAAAACGCGATGAATCGTCCGTCGATGGAACCAGCTGCTCCTTTTATCTACTTAACCCTGTCATCTTTCGCGGGCACGTCGGTTTCCACTCTCCTGGCGCATAGCATGCCTGAAAGACAAATGGAAAAAAAAATTCACAACCGGTTAATCGTAGCCTGCCACTTTCCCAGTTGTTCGTAGATCTGTCGTAAGGGTTTCACGGGTAGTAGGGGAGTTGGGGGTTGTTTTGAATGAACGGACAGAAGGATACCCGCCACTCCACGTCACCAGCTCCGCTTTATCGGCCGTTTCCACCGAGCGAACTTTCGACTCGTGCACCCCTGCGTCGCAAAACTGACTACCACTACTACTACTACTATATCGTTATATGGAGACGAGTCTGACGCTCCTCCTCGTTGACGTTCGACCGTGTTCTCGAGAACTTGCCTAATAGGCCGGTCAAAGGCGAACACCGGATGATGTTACAGGACGAGGAAGAGAACAGATGCCCTGACGTTGGAATGTATGCTTCGACACATTTTCTGACTATACTTGGTTGGACAAGATATATAGCAAATTCTTCGAAAGTTCTTTGGTAACTAGAACTACGTACTTCATGGGTTTGGACTACCCTTGCTATGGAAATTTCAAATGGATAGGCTTCGAAGGCTGTTCGGGACTATAGGAACTGTCTACATTCTATTGTATTTTTGGTTAGTCTCATTGGGTAATGTGTTTTTCTCTGTTTGTTGCATTGAACACTAAAATGTCGATTTTCTTTGTAAGGTAACATCAACTGCCACTGTCACAACTGGATTATTGAAGTTTATGTAACTTAGCCATTTTAGACGCTATTATATCAAAATTATAACTCAATATTCTAACCAAGAAGATTGACTGTTGTTCTCAAGCTGACTAAAGTCAGCCCTAAAAAAACCCTTTTCATCAGGTTCACTACATATCTAGATTCGTACACATCGACACTATTTCCAGGACCTGCAGCACGGCCAATAAATTTCAAGTTGAAGTACACTTTGTTCTCTGCTTCAGCTAGTGTAATAAGGAAAACATTGTACCGCACACTATGCAGAAATGAGAATCAGGCTGACCTATAAAGAGCTGGTCTGATTGGCTATAGTATAATTTCCTCCTTATAGATGACCTCTTAAAATTGAATAATTTTCACAATATTATAAACACAGAATTTAACAAAATATAGTGGATTACTTATTGGCACACCTAATATTGAGTCTACACTCGTGAATTTTCGATAGAGTGGTATCTAGAAGTCACGGCTTAACATAGGTACTATATTCATCAAACAGATCGTATTGTTTTACATTCAACACCCAGGAATTCATACAACTTACGGACTGACCTAATTCCAGTACCGTTCATGGCACATTGCACGCGTGTTCCGTATAAAACACCGAGCGGAAATTAAAAACAACGGGGAAACATTATAGAGAGCTCGGCTTTATTAAACGTATAAATGTCAGATAAACACAGGTTTATCGTTTCCCACCGATAATTTCCAACCGGACAGCAGATACGCACGTTGAGCTGTCGAATGTATCACGTTCGATAAAACGAAAAGCTGTAATACAGGAGTATTATATAAATTATTATACGCGAATGGCGTTTCGTAAGCGTCGGTTCGGTAGTCCGCGAGCCATGGAACGCGATTCCGCCTCGTATTGCAGAATTGTTAATTTTCCGTGCACTGGCAGCTCGTGTATTCGCGAGTATCGCGTTCCACGCGGTGCGCGCCATTGATCAGATCCGCGACCTTTCCGTCCGGCGAGACGGTTTAATCGACAATAAAGCATTTCTAATAACAATCCATCAAGCACAGGAAGCCTAAACACTAGCCGTCGTTAAATTTCGATCCGTTCATCTGTATCGATTTACGGATCAGACGGTAAATCATTAATTAGTCGCGTCGGTCGTCACTAATTTGCTTAAATCAGCAAATACGACAGTATTTCAGATTGCTTTTTATATCCTTTTCTCGATACTTAATACGATTTAAATCAGCTAGTGTACTATTCCACAATAGTCCGTCGCAGGAACAAAAATAAAAAACAATCGTGAGTCATAAAAAATCGCATACGGGTACGTATGTAAGTCGCTTCAAATAAGCTTCCGGCGCGCAGTGTGACGGTAGATTACGCATTTTGTAAAATGAGCACGACGAGGGGAAGAAAAATGTAGTTAAACGTGAAACGTAAAGCGCGACGCGCGGTTGTACATAACCGGGCGGTGCTTGTTCGTCGTCGCGCCGGCGAAATTATTTAAATTGTAGTTGTACGCTCTAACTACAAATAAATTACACGGTAAAATGTGTCGCGTGTCGACAAATATAATACCCCGTGAAACGCGGTAACTCCGTGTACGTTGGGTACATTATAGCCTGGAACGAAAAAGGGGAGGCGGCGGGGGGCTAAAGCTAACATCATTCTGTTGTTTACAGCATTGTATCTGATAAGAAAAAAAGACAGGCCCATGGAAAGCATGTAGCTTGCATGTACCAATGAAAATTTCGAAATGAAATTGCCATTCCTATTTTAGAAATAATAACTTAGAAAACATTAGATTCAATTACATTTTATATGATTCATTTTTGTATATTATATATGTCATTATTATTAATTTCTTTCATATTTATATTTACTGCTTTTATGGCTGGTACAATGGTGGAATTTTCGATTTTATAAAATATCTAGATGTGGTAGATAAACTTGCTTTCTTAGGTTTGTAGTAGAGAAAGAGGTAATTGAGGGGCTGGTAACAAAAACTACCCTTGCCAAATGTTTCGGTTCTTGTGATAATATGAATATGATATGCATGATGAATACTAATATTTCGATCTCACCAGTTACTGGTACAATCCCACAGAAAAAGAAGATAGGTACCTATATACAGATTCCAAAAATATTACAAAATTGAAAGGTGCACTTCTTTCCAATTACGATCTCTTTCATCCTGAGCCCGTCAACCAAATATTCCAAAAATATTGAAAAATTAAAACGATCATCACTTTCCAATTACGATCTCTTTCATCCATGAATATTTTCGTGTTAAGGGCAAACCTCGTGAAAAAAAGAAGTGCTGAAAACCGTTAACATGTACGTAGATTCCGCAAACATCGAAAAATTAAAACGTTCACTTTTTTCCAATTACGATGCCTCATTCATAAATATATTTGAGGTAATCGTATTCGAGGAGGATAACCGAAAGATATTTCCCAAGCGGAGATGAATCCCTTTTTCACAGCGACGACGTAAATCGAAATCGGGATATATAAAGGTGGAAATTTTTGATGGCGATATTTACGAGGCCGGTGACTCGCCCGAAGTGCTGCGCGTACTCATAGCTGGGACGAGCGTAAAATGCGAGACACGGAACCACGGGACACGGAATACTGCAGTTCGTTACCGGCAAGGTAAAGCCGATCTATACCCACAAACAGTAGAAAGTAGCGACATGAAGCAGCGAACGAGCGAGCAAGAGAGATGCGCCGGCAACGAATTGGCTCTTTCACGCAGACAGCCGAACAAAAAGAGTCGGGGACACGGGGTTAACTCTAATTTACATTCGCGCGCAGCCTATGTACTCGGCATATTTACAGAGCGCACGTAACGCCCCGCGCGTGTACGGGACGTGCTGGAAGGTGTACACCGTGAGCGAATGTGGAAAGTCTTGAGTTAACAGCCCGGGACGATTTTAAGCGACAAGTTTGGCTCCAGCCTGGTCTCGCAACAGCTTTGGTCAATACAGTCGAGGGACAAAAGGATGACGCATTTTAACCCTTCTGATGTGGCTGTAGTTGTTTCAGTTGGTTTAGATATTAAATTGTAAATAATTTTTACATAGGAAAATAAAGGTTCTATGGAACTTCCTATTAACCCTCAAGGATATGGACGGCGAATATGTTCTATTTTTTTTCGTAATTTTAAAAGCCAGAAGTAGACTTGTTTTGTTTATCTTATAATTCAATATTTTTCTTGTTTTAATGGTAGATAATTGGAATGAAGGGAAAACATTTTTGGTGTAAAAAAAATTTAGAGGAATAAAAGACTTCTCGCCTGTGTCCTTGAGGGTTAAATTTATTTTTACAGTTTAAGAAGTGTTTAATGTGCATTGTAGTTACTTCATGCGAATGGCTATACTCACCCATAACATCGAAGGAGTTAAGAATTACTATCGTATATTAGTTGTCATTAGGCTAGATTTTGTGCACTTACAGAATATCCGATTGAATTTCCGAAGTCCGGGAAGAAGGTTTGTTAAATTTGTTTAATATGTATATTCTTTTGAATAAAATTGAATCTATTGCTAAAATTGAAGTTGATACCATTCATTTATGTTGACAAAAACAAACTGAAAAAATGTATATATAAAAACGTGAAATAAATAAAAACAAAGTCATTCGTAAAATGTGCTATCTTTTAATCCCTGACTATAGGAATACGAATTGGAAAAACTGCAGCACATTTTCGTTTAGTAAAGCTGGTGCCTGCGAATTTTTTGTGTGTAACTTCAATCATTGCGATGAGTTCTGTATTTGTTTTTTCTAATGTATACAGTGACTTACAAATTCGTTCGCATACTTTCAAAACAGTTCGTTATCTGTACCTTTACCATCCTTTTGAAACGAATATTTTTTTAATACAAAATTCGCAATTTGGTACGTAATTTCGTCAAATATACGTAGCAACCTTCTCTGAATAAATTTGTGAGTCACTGTATATTCAAAATGGAAGTTCCAATAAAAATTCTTATAAAAGAGTTATTGACGTTATTTTATGCTTCCATAATTAAAATTTTTTTTTTTATGTTTATAGACGTGAAGCAGGATGAACGTGATCTATAATAATACTAGAATAAACACAATTCCCAATTCTGAAATAAACAGTACAATACATCTCCCAATGTGTTAACTATTTTTAGCTCATTATTGAGCGTGTATTTATGCATCACTATTTTCTCAACCATTCAACCACTACGTTCTGTCACA